ATATATGTACCGAATTACATATGTTGATCGGAAGGTAATCTATCAATACGATATAAAAAAGAGTGGTTCAGAAGAATCGTGAGTTCCATAATATCTAACCGAGATGAGCACCGGTCATTGGAGAAACACAGGGGAAGATTGCATTGACACTGGAGAATGCTATCTAAAAAGCGCAATTCCCAAAAAAGAGGTGAATTCCACTAATGTTTCTAAAATGAGAAATCTTAAGGTTTCAAATGAAATTGATAAAAGACTCTTTTTACGCCTCTTTTGATCCCGAACAGAAAGCTCATAGAGTTTGCGTAATTCATGCCAACCGGTAGAAACCTCAACTCTGAGATGTATTCAAAAATTTGACATCAATTTGTTTCAAAGTATATCGATTTTTAAATTAAAACTACCAAGATGTTCACTGGTTCAGCATGAAGGATTCGTCGGTGATACAATTTGAATGGTAAAGTGATTGCACTACCTCTTTCCGTGCGGCAGCTATATCCGCCCTCATATCATCTGTGATTCGCTTCGATGTCTCGTCCAGTCGACGCTGATACTGAAAGTTTTCCTTTTGACAGTAGGTATAGAACAGTTCCTAACAACCAAACTTCTCCTCCTCCCCGACTGCCTACGAGGAAAAGCAAACGAATTTCTACCCTATCCTTCTTGAAAACAGTATCATTATATAGAGAGGAGGTGGTGCAGTGGCAAGTGCTGCAGGATTACAAACGCATGGTCACGGATTTGAATCCCAGGTCGATGTCCACCTAAGCCATCTGAGCCTTTCACCCCTCTGGGATCGAAGAATTGCTACAAGACCCGTATGGGAGGATAAAAGCACAGACTTTCACGGCTCGCCACCGAGGAGTTCAAAATGAATAATAAAGACGAGAGAACTTACCTCGGCAGCATGTTCCACCTCTAGTTTCTCTATAAGATCATTCATTATCACCAGTTGTTCTTCTAGATCTTTGCAATGACGACGTTCCTTCAGTAACTACAAGATGCAAATTTTCTAGAGAGAAAGCGATAATAAAAATATGTCTATTTAAATGATAGAAGAGCAGTCATACCTGAACGTAACATCCTAGAAATATTGCAACGGCAGCTATAAGAATGCCTAGCACAACGATGATTTGTAAGAATGATCGCGACTGCTTTTCTGGAAGGTCCACCTGGAAATTTGCAGAATACTCTGTCTCCAGGTCTATGCTGCCGAAATGTGGATCATTCCATTTCATCAGCTTTGGTTGATACTAATGCTGAGAACTGCGACCTCTGATTCTTCTAACCCAGCTCATTGCTGGTAATAAATGGAATAACCAAGGTGCTCAAAGGGACGAACTGCTTTACCTGCCATTCTCGTTTGACCCAAGCCTTTTAGGAGTACCCATCACAGATTCCTACCATCAAAAGCACGCGCGAAATTTGGGTGATACACTCTTTAAAATGGTCTCAGTTTGCTGTTCCCTCGACTGGCCACGGATGGCCCCAATCGAAGTCTACCAACTACTGGGTACCGCAAGATGGAGGTCTCAGTTCCCTTCTCTCAGCCTTGCCAATATATACAGGTAGTCTAACCATCAATCACATGAATATAGCCCCCCGACTGGTTATAAAAACGGTTTGAATGCTTGAATATGGGTTCTAGTACCCGAAGGCTTCTAGTAGTAAGTAAGTGATGCCCTACCATGCCAGCCACGCCAACATAGTAAATGAATTGATTTTATCAAGAATCGGTATTCAAAATTTTTTCAAAAAGACGTCACCTTTGGCGGATTTGTTTTGACCAACAAATTGTCCCTTTCCTGACGAAGCTCATCCATCTCCTCATTCAGTTTCTGCTCCTGTGTGAGTACCCATCAGGGACGTAAACAAATTCCGAAGGTAATGCAGATGCCTACACGAGTCCTACACGCCTTGACGGTTTTCTTCAGCATTTTCGTCTCCTCCTCCAATTGTTCGGTTGCGATTCTCCATTCACTTGACTGTTGCGCCATTTTCTCAAGCTGAAAAAACTGTTGAAGTCCGGTACTGAAGTGAAAAGTCGGTTAGATAGAGGATAAAAGGGTAAAATCTTTGGCGTTGGTCAGTCTGAGGGATGCGCCCCCGCACTCGTGTTCCATTCAGAATCGTAGTGGCGTAATGAGCGCGTATGTGGCCTATACAATTACTTGCGGTGGCCAGCCGATGTACAAGTCAGTGCTTTTATCCTCCCAGACGAGTCTGGTACCAATTCATCGACCCCGGAGGGATGGAAGGCTTGGTTGGCCTAGGCGGGCATCGATCCGGGATTCGAACCTCTGACCGTGCGTGTGATTTAGTGCGCCACTTGCCACTACATCACCTCCGCCCCGGTTTAGATACTATAACTTAATATTCGACAGGACTTCGAAAACAGCAAATAGATTTCTGATGCAGAAACCTACCATGGAATTTCGTCTTTTGAGTGTGTACAGTTCGTGGAACACCTGTTCAAGCATCCCTGCAGACTCCCTTGCTTTCCTACTGATGTCAGATTCTTAAAACATTTTTTGTCCTTTATGCATTACATCGGCTGTTTGAAAGAGTCGATTGTGGAAAACTGCTATTACCAGATGCTTGAGATGCACTACATTTTGTTGAGCGATCACCATCGTCACCATCAGGTGATGCTTGTCCAAGCACACTGGCCGATTCTCCAGCCATTATACTGACATCGGACACTGGAAATTACTGCAGTACGTACTTCGCTTTGGGACCTTAGGATAAACTTATTGTTAAACTGATTCAAAGGAACGGTTTTTAGTACCAGATATTTGCGATGCAGTGTTTGTGAGTGAAGGAGCGCCAGTACTTCTGTCAAGCAATGTCGATTTCGCAGTTGGATCGTCGTCACTGAAAGACGTACACGAAATTGTTCCCTGAATCATGGACTCATGGATGAAATGATGTTACCTAGGCTGTAAGCTTTGTTCTGGAGCGTCATGCTCTCCTGAGTACAAATCGGGTATCTCGATTGAAGCACCGGGCAATGGTGAGGAGGAAATGGATATTTCCTGGCCAAAACTACCTGCAATGTATAAAAAACAACCGTAATGATGAAAAAAATGGTAAAAATAGCGATAAATATCCTCACCGTCTCTAGCACTACCGGATGATGAGGAACGATCACGAGATATGACCTCGAATTCACTTGTCGTTGTACTTTCGTAGGATAAACGGCGAGAAAGTGATGGGTTGGAGGAGTCCATTCGTTCTAAGAGCAGAGATTAAGGGAGCTTCAACAAACCGCAGGCTCCCAAATGAAGAAGAATTGGAGGCGTATCAAAACGGGTAACGTCAAATTCACGCTTGCTTCATCAAATAGTCAGAAGGATGATGGAAATGACGATGAAGGATGATACTCTCAAGGATATTAGAAAAGGGCTTAGTCAAACAGGAATTCAGGGCAGAGAATCTGCATGGGGTAAGACATCTATTTTAGTGAAATCAAGCAAAAAATCTGTTTCGATCATCATCCTGTATAAATGAACGTCAGGGCGGAGGTGGTGTAGTGGCAAGTGACGCACTTCACACACGCATAGTCACGGGTTCGATATTCATCCCTAAAGTCATGAAAAGATGATGGTTGCTAGTATTAGCGCTCATAGGGCAGCAAACAAGTTGGAGAACTAGTACGAAGGACCTGGTTAAGTTAGACGAAACGCTGAGGATTCGAACGAGAGACTTTCCGGGAATTTCCCGTTTCTCAGCTCTGGTGGCAATATCGATAAGCTGGGTGTTGAGAGTGGCGTCACATAAGAACCTCTACTCATCAAGCAGGGTTGAGATACATCTGTAACATCGAAAGAAAACAAAAAGGAAACAAATCGATGGTGGTGGGCACGTGCCTTTCTGTTCCGATTCAGAGGTGGGAGTAGACGAGGACAGGGTTCGCTGATCTATTTGTACAGAGTGAAAATAAACTGTCAAATGGCTCATTGCGTAGCTGTAAACATCACAGGACAGAATCAATCAATCTATAGCAAGACATTCTAAATTAATCC